ACTTCCATCTCTGACACACGGTGAGACCACCAACGGTCGCGGTCTCTCTTCAGGCTAGCAGGGAGTTTTGCTCGGAGCTCTTTGCGAGTTTCATTGTGTTCGCTTCCAGCCGGAATATGCCGGCGAGCGTCGATAAGTTCCAGAGACCGCGAAGACACCCAATATCCATGTTGGCTATTAGACATACCACATGAGGATTTGCCTGCTGCTAGTAAGGTCTGGCGAGCATGTGACCAGTGACCATCAAGTGTCTCCAGTGAGCGATTACTCAACTCGCATGTCAGAACAGTTGGCTTTGTCAGTTGGCTGGTATCAATGCGCTCACAGCGTCGTCGTGGGCGCCCACCAAAGCGCATCCGCATGTCAACACATACAAGTGCATGCTCGGTGTCCACACATGTGCTCCAAATCGAGTGACAGTTCTGGATGCAGCCTCTCCAGCTGTAACTGATACCAATGTGATCGATCTGCGTCCAAGGCTGGTTCGAGGCTGGTGGGCGCCAAGCTACCCTCCGGCGGGTGCTGTGTCGGAAGTTACTGCTCGCAAAATATAGGCGGGCATCGTCACACAGATGAAGTAACCGCTTACCGTTATCATTACGGGAGCCTACACTGTGCTGACCGCCCAGATGCATTTCGTCAGTGGACAACGTTCCAACTTGTGCGATCAGATCCCCGGCCAGCACTGCAGTGTCTGTGCTTCTTCTGTGGCGAATGAGCTGAGTCAGTTGGCGGTAGAAGTCATTCTTTACCGAATCATCGCTACAGTTTGTGGGTGTGTAGGCAGCGATAATGAACAGACACCTAATAGTCCCGCGCGATTTCGAAACTTTGCGCGAACCGGCCAATCGGGCCGCACACATCCGGCTACTGATTGGATTCGAATCAACCAGAGCAGCTTCAGTCCGGGGATTTAAGGCAACACCAACACCCGCTTGGCCGGTGCTGGAAGCTGCATGGTCAACGGATAGGCGCAATGAGAAAACGCTGCTTGCGGCACCTGAAGGGAATCACAGAGTGAGCACAGAGCTCGAGTCATGCAGGCTGGTCTCTGATAAGCAGCATATACCGATCGAGAGGGTCTCCAATGTTTTGGCAAGTGTTGCCTGTTGACCGATCTGTAGAAATGTGCGTACATTGAGGCATGCCAATCTGAAGGAGGATCGAGGGCTCCAAATGGAAGCCGGTGAACTGGAATCGACCGCTTGCTTGGACATGGGCTTGTCGACAGGAGAGGAGTTACGTTTCGCGTTCACATGTGAGTCTAAATTAGAAAATAACTGCCTAGCAAAGCATGTTGGGGGAGGGCCAAGAATCGGGGGGATGAAAACTGGGGGATAAAAGTGAAGTTGGGACGGGCGGTAAGAGGGAAAAAGCGTAAGAGGGGGAATAAGAAGACGGGAAGGCTTGAGCAGTAGCACCCAAACCCCTATCCCCATGCTCGGGACAGCAGATAGGCACCGTTGATTATCCTCTGCGGTGGCCAGAACATCAGAAATTTGTTTGAAGTGCGATTCATCGTATTGCGTAGGCAGGATACTGTCAGGTTGCCCAGGCCTAGACAGGAGCACGATTAGGGTTCTCAACCAAAGCCTTTGGTTCAAAAACCTGACCGCAAGGCAACGGGTTTGGCGTTGGGCTACAAGGAGTCCGTTTTAACGAATAAGGTGCCACCCTTATTCCAACCCCTAACCTGGAGGACCAGGAGGCTGCGTTTGTCTGGCCTCTAGCCATTGACCAATCTGGTATGAGTGACTCTGAAGGTGCAAAAGCACCACCCAGCATAGCTCAATGGATCGCTGAGGCACACAAACCATCGCACCAAGGTATGGTCCAACCTCCTTGTGATGGACAGTGGACATTTACAAAATATTCCAAGACTGCGTGCAGAAGAATCCAGAATGCCCTATCCTGTGGCATCTTCGTCCAGTTAAATAAACCCCTGGATATGATTCATACTAACATTTACCTAACGCTGTTCTTTTTTCCCAAACTAATCTGTTTTTCTCCCACTCTCAGTGCAAGCTGTGTGTTCCGATGTTAATTATTTGTTTATTTTACACATTGAGAATGTGCCTTGCTTACATTCAACCGCATACGTTGATCTACTTTTCAAACTTCAGTACAAACCACACTAGCGCTCTACATGGTAACGCCCGAGGTAATCGGTGTTCTCACTGTTTCAGACCAGCCCACTTCGCGACATTTAAACATGGAATTGCTCAAGATACTTCGCATGTGTCCTCACACATTGCGTTGCTGATAGTTGAATAGTTCAACAGTGAACGATGGGATAAAATGCATGCCTTTACAAAACCCACAGGATGGCAAATGCAGAAGAAAATTAAGAGCGAAAATGTTCCAACGTGAGACGCGAATCATCAGTAGAAAAGGCATCGCACTTTAGCATGGTGTTGTGTAGAGTTTAGCATTAAGATGAAAGTCTAGAAGTCTCTCGGATGTCGCGATGTCTGGTGCGCTTACCAGGTGCGTTTGTAGTGCATTCCAGTGGAAACAGATTCTAAGAGATTAAAAATACTTCCTACAATCCAAACGGGAGTGTTTTGTTACTAGTTTTAGGTAACGGCCTCGACATTGTTTGTAAGAGGCTAGAGTCAGCAGTGATGTGCATGGGGCTCGTGTTCGGTTAGTATCGGGAAAGTGAGGACGAGATCCCCCCGAAGCCGTCGGTATTTCGAGGAGAACACACCGAGTAAACTAAGGCGCAGTTCATAACTGAGGCCGGATACTCCACAGGTTGTCTTGGTAGCTCTTCTTTGGGGTTACTCCAAGAGACGAATATCTCGTTCTAACCACGCGGGCCAGGCTTGGACCGTATCTTCAATATGGAAAGGAAGATAGGTGTTGGTCAACGATGGTACTAGTCGTCGCTTAAAGGTGCCGAGAGCTCACTACAAAAGCCTTAGGTTCAAGTTTGTCACATTCGCTGCTTTCGAGTATTCGAGCGAATTGTCTAGACTTTCTTGAAAGATGATACCTAAATCTTTTTCACTAGTCGCCTGTTGAAAAACGTGCTGTCCTAGAAGAAATGTGTTGGTGAACATGCTGCGTACCGTCAGCAGGTGACAGTTTTCAGGGCTGAGTGGGAATTGGTTCCTTTCTGCCTATTCATTAATCAGGTCCAGATCGTTGTGGAAATAGTCACTTTCGGATGCTGAGGGAATTGCTCCCCATGTTTTGGCACCAACTGAAAATGTCCACTTTGGGGATAAAAAATTTGCTGGGAGGTCATTGATGACAACCAAAAACAGTAACGGGCCGACGGATCCTTGCGGTACACCCTTGAATACGCACCGGCTTTCGTCGTAAATGTTGACTATTCTTACCTTGTTGGTTCTGTTTTGTAGGTAATCCTCTAAACATGTGAGCAGGGGATCGTTGATAGCGTAGGCTGCAAACTTTTGGCGGAGAAGGAAATGATTGGACCTGTCGAACACCACATCTATGGGGACTGTTTCATCAGCTGCTCTGACCCATGAATCGCGGGCAAGGAACCGATTTGTGAGACAAGATCGTCTGCGTCTGAAACCATGTTGGACATTGGAAATTATTTGTGAGTGGAAGTCAAATACATGAAGACCATCTGGTTCACGCGGTCGATTATTTTGTTTCCTCTTTATATAGAATTGAAACACAGTGCCATCACTGTGTGCAATACATATATTCTCAACACCCATGGCTCGGAGTGCCATCCTTTTCTGAGTAGTCACTTATAGGCCAGGTTTAAGCCACAGTGCATCCAAATGAGTTTGTTTCCACATGTCTTTAAGGCAGATTTGTTGGCTATTTTGATTGTTGTTGTTGTTGATACGCCTGTGCCGAAAGCACAGATTATTGAGCACCGTATTCTTGTTGTTGTTGCCGTTTGAGTCGTGCTTGTTCAAGGCTTCCAAGCGATTTGTCGTTTACTTGGCGAGCACCAACTCGGAGATTTCAAGTAGGAAAATGCGCGATATGTGGCCTTAAGTTGTGCTTTACATCGGTTGTTCATCACGGCTTTGCGGCGGTTTGCAGTGATCAGTGGAAGCTAGTCAGCAGGCTGTAGATCCGGTCCGGTGATCACCCTTTTGTCTTTGAATTTAGTAGGAACTTTTGGGAATAAGAAGCGGCATCAAACCATAACAACTTGACCCTGCAAAATCGCATCTAAAACTCCCTACTGACCTTTTACTTCTTTAAATTGCTTTAACTTTCTTTAACTGATTTCTTACTGGTAAGTAATGGTAACGCGGAAACAAAAAACCAAGATACCAATGGTAAGTCTAGCTAAATGCTCAACCTGTCTGAATATGCATAAACGAATGGTCGGTGGCGCGTAGTCAATTGGTGATTGGTGTCAGAGCAACAGTCTGGCCAATTGACACCAACGGAATGACGGAAATAGCTGATTATCGTGATGCCTAACTATTTCCGAGGATAGTACTCAGTGATAAAATTTGGAACTTCACAAAGTTGTCATGGGTCGTTTGCGAGTTTCTCCAAGACTAGAGCCGTCAGAGGTATGCATATAAGTGCGATGTCAATCTGAGCTACTCTCTGCAGCGTTTGCCCTCACTACAGCAGCGTGAGCTAAGTTGTGTTAGAACTCCTGAACCTTCCTTTTATTGATAGTGCGACTACTATAAGGAGAGAAACAACTAAAATATACTGTCATTGATTGATGTTTGGGTGTGCCCTTAAGTACAATATATATGTAGCTGATATGCTAGCTCGAAACCGTGTTGATACGCGTGGCGGCTTGCGTACACTATGGTGACCTTTGCTGCGAGAAGAGTACGCGAGGCCCCCTTGCCGTGGCTGTTGTTCGTACGAAGGTAGTTACTAAAAATATCATTAGATGGCTGCAGACAAATGATGATCCAACACTTGTTACTTTAATCTGTCAAAATCTTCCATCACCAATATCGCCCTTCCACATTCACATGTGCTTGATTAAGTAGATGGCTACGCGTCTTACTAGTGTAACATAAATGACTTACTTTTGCGGTATAGTTTCAGAACCACAGTTTTCTTCAGTGATGTCAATTCACGAATTTTGCTCAGTAGTTTCTCCAAAGTGGCAAACTTTGACCGATCCTTCAGAATCAAGCGGCATACTTCTTTGTTCTCCAGGGAGCGTCGAGATGGAAATACCAGTTTGACCAACATCTTCACTGTGCTTGTTAGGTCTGTCGGCACAACTGGAGGCAGACCACCAAGCCGGCAAACCAGAACAGCCAAGGTAGTGGGGTCACGTGCCTTCAGCGCATACTGAGAAACGATTCGCTCAGCGCCGTGAGACACGTGGAGTCCGTTTCGGCACACCGTAACGTATTGATCAGAGACGCAGCACGAGCACCAAATAGAACTACTCGGTGATAGGACTTCAGATATGCTGGCACGTATGGTACCTGTTAGCACCACCGGTGGATTTTCACCAATGCATCAGCTACAGATGATTTAAGATGATCCAGCCACGTGAGATCATTTTCGCATACCTTGTTAGTTGCTTGTCGTGTGGTTGACGAGTATGCACGAAATGAGGAGGTCATCACACAATCTTCGTCTTCTGATATTCATATTTGGAATTAGGAAGGAATTGGTGTTTCAAAATTCATCTTTCATAATGGCTTGATGCCCTGGTACCTCGGGTTGATCGATACTGATTTCACTGATTGATACTGATTTCATCGATACTGATTACCGAGATTAGTAATTGGTTTGCAAACACTTCATCACTAAGCGAGGTGACTTCGGTAGTGCGCTACTGTAATATTCCTTCGGTCCGGCGTCCTGAGCTCTTCCGTGTCCAAGTAGTGTGACAAGCTGCAATGCAAAATAAATACCTCGTAGACGGCTGTACGCTCGAGCGGTCTAGTAAGAGGCCGATCTAAAGGAAGCAGCTAAGGAAGCACGGAAGAGGAAAGGAAAAGTGCCGGAGAGGAATATGAGAGTAATGATAACAGGAAGCAAAACCGACCGACCTCTTACCTGTTAACGTGTTACCGTGATGCCCACAGACCGGCTACATTATCCCCCCTCTTATCAGGCGCTGTCCTCAGCGCCCCTAATGGCCCATACCGGCACCAATTTATGTACCTGCCAGAGGCATTGAGCACGGTATATTAGGCTCGGGAGATACAACGACAAGCAGCACGAGGGTAGAAAGTTAACTGTTGCCTCCAGGGCCACAATCTAGCTCGTTGGACTGCTGTCGTGAACTGGCAGGGTCGCCAAATATGTAATATTCCTTCGGTCCGGCGTCCTGAGCTCTTCCGTGTCCAAGTAGTGTGACAAGCTGCAATGCAAAATAAATGCCTCGTAGACGGCTGTATACTCGAGCCGCCTAGTAAGAGGCCGATGTAAAGGAAGCAGCTAAGGAAGCACGGAAGAGGAAAGGAAAAGTGTCGGAGAGGAATATGAGGGTAATGATAACAGGAAGCAAAACCGACCGACCTCTTACCTGTTAACATGTTACTGTGACAACCGCGGCGCGGCTACACTACTGGGTCAAATGCAATCCGCTGATTTGGTCGTCCATTGTGATCGACCAGCGAATGACGTTTGAATTGACCTCCTCCATTTGTGCACGTGACCTTGACCCATCTGCCCAACTTCTCTGATACTGAAACTGGGAGCAGGAAATTGTCCCAACTGACTGGAGCTGCTCCGTTATTGTCCCGATCTTCATAGGAGGCTCAGGTTTGGAATGTGGCAATCACGGAGGAACCAGACTACTCCAAATCGACTCCAAATTGCTTTCTTCTGTAATCCTTCACAGACTGACTGGCACTCGTGAAAGCCAGATTCGTGAGTAGCAACCCGAGTTCCATCGATGTTCGGGATATATCGACCACCTATTCACCTTGCTTCAGTTGTTGTAGCATCGTCACATATACTGGCAACCCACCGTTGTAGTGTTCCTCGACATCAAAGGTGCCGTCTCTTTCATGGATCGATGTGCCCTTTGGGACTTTGTGCTAAGGAATGGTGTGCATGAGAAGTATGTAAAAATTATGCGAGCGCATTACGCATGTGGCTTGAGTAGAGTGAGGGTTTATTGTAGGCCGTCGCAGTCTTTCCTTATCTCCAGCGGCGTGAGACAAGGATGTCCGCTATCCTCTTTCCTCTTCAATTTCGTTATTGATTAAGCAATGGAGGTCGCGTTCACAGTACACGATTTAGAAGATGTGGATCTGTTTCCAAAAGAGTGACTTCTTGACTCAGACTATGATGACGCTATTGTCCGCATCTGTTACAGCTCACAAACGTGCCAAGTGGCATTGTACAAATCAGTCAGTCACAGTCACATCTGGTTTTGCTTCGCACCCTCAAAGTGTAAAGCTTTCCTCAACGATTGGCCTGCACCGCGTCCTGCGCTGACGCTTGGTGGGGATCAGCTAGAACTCGTCCAAAAATTTAACCAGCTATATTGTTGTATCAGGTCCGTTAGAATTGAAGACGTGGTGACGAACCATATGACAAAAGCTCGAGGCACTTTTGTTGATATTTACCACTTTTGGCGCCGGCGGGACATCACTCTCCCCTGAAGAACATAGTGTCCAATGCAGCCGTACGTTCGAGCCTACTGTACGGTTGTGAAACCTGCCCCTTTAGATCAGCCGACCTAAAGAGTTTAGTTCCGTTAGATCACAGGTCCTTTCGCAGTTTGACTCAAATCTGGTAGGAACACCGTGTGAGCAATGAGCCTGTTCGACATCTTGTTACTGGCGTAGGAAGAAGGAGAGAACTGCTCATCTAGCCGAACAACCTCCATGTAATGCCAGCTTTGTGGTCCGGGCTAATCTTGTTCCAGCGAGTGGTTCGGTGACAGTGTTCCGGGACATTGGAATACATTGGAATATATTGGAATATTGAGAGCAGGAGGGAGATCCCGTGTCAGCTCCATCGGTTCGGAATCCTCACAAGATGGGTGCTTGTTGTCGGGAAAGGTTACTTATTCGGAGATCATCACCTTTGAAGTAAGAGCACCAGGACTCTGCAATGTGCGTTGGATGGGTGTCCAGCAACAGTTTAATAGTTTCTTCTGTCTGCGAATCAATGGTGTGTTTCGGCAAACTGTTCCAACCATTTACAACTGTGGAAGAGTGGGCAGCTTGCGGACGGCGCGAAGTGTCATCGGCTTAAATAATTTCCATTTGTGGTCACGTGTCGAGCTGCCTACACTTAGATGGAAGAACTGCTGCAGCTCACTTCCGAGCTCTCCCCTTAAGATGCGTCTGGTGTAGAGGAGATCCCTGCGACGGCGGCGATATTCCATGGAGAACAGGTTCAGTCTTAAGTCGAAGAGTGTATGGAAGATCCCGAAGCTCCGATACAGCTTTTGAACCACGCCTCTGCACCTTCTCTACCAGGTCATGTTCAGATTTCGTTAGGGAATAAGCCACCGGGAGACCTTATGCTAGGATCGGACGAACATGCGAAGCGAACGGAGTTCGAAAGATCTCCAACGTAATTTTACAGAACGAACTTCTCAAAACCCAAAGCATTCGGTCGGCTGCCGCAACCTTCTTCTACTTGGCGGATTTTCGCCCTGCAAGCGTTCTCTCTGTAAAATGCCACAAATGTCTATTAAACAACACTGTGACGTGGCGGACATGACCCGCAACTAAATAAGGTCACTGCTTCTTGCCTTTCCGGAAGAGCTTATCTAACTCACGGACGTCAGCCAATTCGGAGAAATTATTTGATCCTTTCCCATGTTGGCGAATTCACCATGCACAGCCACAAATTCAGCACAGCAGTAACAATTGCACTCAACATGATTACTAAACCATGCAGTTACAAATATACATAAAATATAACTTCAGTATCTAATGGTTACATAGCAGCACTTGTGAAAATTACTGGGTATACGCACTGTATTACTACGCTTATGCCTTTGGTGGTGTGTCTCGCACCGTGTGGAATAAAACATTTATTCATTTATTTCACGCACCAGGCTCCAATGGTTAGGCCACGTGTTACGCATACCAGCACAAGGACTCCAGCGACGTGTGTTGTTTGTTTGGTGTGGATGGAATGAAGGCCTTTACTTCGAAATTGGCCTCGGTTGAAGCCTCTCAGCTCCCTGGTTGGGGACCGAAGGACGTTGAACACAGTAGGCTGGCTACACCTTTTGTCATGGCTAGAAGCCGACCACAATGGCGTTTGTGTTGTGAGTGTCTCTGTCCTTCTCCTTCCCGCTTAGCCATCCATCCATCCACAATCACGTTTTTAAGGCATAATATAACTCTTTGGCGACACAATAATCGGCTGTTAGTCCTCCGAAACGATATACATCCGTTACTGGTGGTACAGCCAGCGTTCCTCTATTGCATGTGGTTTAATTTGCTTCTGTATTGCGGCACAATAGCTGAGGAGTTTTCCACTTCTATCTAATGTGTATAATAATAATATTGCTACTAGGAATTCAACTATAGCAAACCATGCTACTTGATGTGCATAGAAGGGGATGAATGTGGAAGAACGCTGCATTAGTTGACATTTGATTCTACACCAATCATATCGCTACGCTATGTCATCGTTTACAATATACTAAAATGATCGTATCGATGAATGAAAAGTAAACGCCGCACTGTTTCTGGAAAGCAAAATTGCATCTAATCTGAGAAAGCAAAACCATGTGCAAGAATTGAGTCACATAGAAACGAAGCAAAACTAATCCATTATTGCGTTAAATAAAGGACATGTGTGCAGAGCAATACATCGAAACGAATTCGATGAGGAACAGGTTCCAAATCTCATTAGCTCGGTTGTCAGAGTTTCGTTCGTGATGATTACCAGCAAACTACAATGACATGGACCTGATTTTAAATAGACTGGCAACTAAAAGGTACTACACATAAACGAACCCATAGACAGGCTTTTTAATGTATTACGATAACTATGCCGTGCGTATTCCCCACGAATCCTGCCGACTCGTATCCACTTTCACAAGAATCGAAAATCATGGATAATGGTAACCATATAGGTGGATTGGTTATCATTTTAGTGTAGCCGCCGCTAACTTCGTAGCGGAAGACATGCGGCAATGGAGCAATGGTTTATGACGGGTGTAACAGCGAGTGCTTGACATGTCCCGTAGAATGGTTAGGGTGAAAAATGCGAGGTAAAATAAACTGCCAGTAAAAGTGCGCATGCAATACTTTATTCACCAAGGGGTTTGAATGTGCATACATGTGCGCATTTCTGCCAGGGATTCCAGAGGATGATTACAACGGCCACTGTTTGATGGTCATTGGTTATATCATATAGTGTAAATTTAGTCAGGGTATCGTCATTGCTTTATATGGAACGGGATAAGGGGGACCCCTTAATTACATGCGGCGGAAGGGCATTCCACGGTTGTGACACTCGGAGGGAGTAAAGGTTTCGTCGACATTCCAGCCGGTTGTACTGCGTGGCCGGCTTCAT